ATGTGTGCCAATGGACCGTGAAATTGTTGCTCCAGGTATTTGTGAATTAATTTCGTTCATTTTTTTGATACTAATTGTTTAATTACTAAATAAGTTGATCCAAAGAAACGTATCGAAAAAGAACAACTCTCTCTCTCTCTCTCTTTATAACTAACAAAGTAGGATTATCAATAAATTGCCCCAGGGTCAAGCAAAATCCACTAGGGAATTCACTCTTTTTGCATTAAATAGAGTTTATTTGTACGGCAATAAAAAATGAAATCACCTACCCCTCTATATTCCCAAGATAGCTTTTTTTATATGACGTTAATTGTTAATTAACTATTGGAAAGGAAAGGGTTAAACTTTTATGTACACTGACAGTTCATGTAATAAACGCGCTAGCAGGAGCAAAAGTTAACATTAACGCATGCGCGAGAAAGTGCACTGGGCGCATGTAATATTCCTTTTATTTAACTTCTAAGCTGTATTTAATATAAAAACAGTGAATCCCTGAGCGGCTTTTGTTGCCTGACACTGGGACAATTTATTTATAACGTTGTTTTATACATCCTACTTTGTTAGTTGTAGAGAGCAACTTAATTTCAACTTTTTGAAATTTTTCTTTTTCGATGCGCTTTTTTGTATCAATTACAACCTATGCCTACGATATTGACCTCTAAATTTAACGTTTAATAATTAAATAATTAGTTGCAAAAAATGAACAAAATTAATTAATAAATACTTGGAGTAACAACTTCACGGTCAATCGAATCGACTTTTAGCACACCTATTCGTTTTTTGCAATAATAATTTTTGGAAAACTGATATATCTGCGTGCGACCTTTATTTTATAGTTAACAAATTAGTGAAAAAATACTCTAGGTAACCTTAAATTGTAGGTAATTTAATTGCCTACAACATAAAATAACTAATTCTCCGATAGTCGTCTAAATTTTCATGAGCAGTAAAAAAGTTAAAAAACATGTGAACATGCCACTTATTTACAATTTGCCAACTTAGCGTCACTTCTTCAAGAATAAAGGATCAAAATAACTCCTAAGTTATTAAATGTGTTAAGTTTTAAGAGAAAAGTGGCATTTACGTCATAAGAAAAGATTAATTTACCTTGCTTGAGCGAAAAGAACATAATAATGCCCTTTTTAATGTTCAAATGATTTAAGTTACACCAATCATTAATCTGTTCAAGATTATCCTGTAACAATTCATACACATTAGATAATAACTAGTAGATTTTAATGACATCCACATATAGTATCACTCCAAAGATAAGATCATTAATATAAATGTTACAAATAACTGCCCAAAAATTGAATCCTGAGGTACCCTATATAATCCAATAAATTGTATCAACTTGTATCGGACTTAAATAATTGCTGGGACTTAAATAATTGACACAATTTATCAGAAACACTTACGCAATCAAGTTTTTCAAGAAGAATCTCGTGGTGGAAGAGTTGGGAAACTTTCGCCATATCAGTATAAATTACAGCAACCTGAACTTGGTTACCAAGAGTCTCTCTGATATGTATTAAATTATCGAAAATAAATGAGTAAATTTGTGAAGTTACCTTTCATAAAGCGATGTTGACAGGGACTAATAATATTACTACCGCGGTTTTATAAATAACAGTGGATCAAAGTTTCAAACGCATTCATCAAATTCGATATTATTGTAATTGGATGATAATTTGATACATCACAACTGTCTATTTTTAAATGTCGGGCATATACGCGATGACTTGCAAGTATTTGGAAAAATACGTGTCCTAAGAAGTAGACTAAGGAGTTAATTCACTGGCTTATGAAATCTTTGATGATGAAGGATGGAATGTCATTAGGACCGGTTGTCATTTTAGGTTTCAAAGATTTAAGTGTACCTATAGAAGATATATTTTCAATATAAATATTACAATTGCTGTTCTCACAGGAGTTTTTCTGGTCTGTGGCAGACGAGTAATTGCCCGAGAAAACTTACAAAACCCGTTCAATACCGTTCTCCAACTTCATACTACAAGGTTTTTTTTCTGCGCACAAAGCAATCGAAAAAAAAACAATCGATAAGGAAATATATCTAAATATTTCAGGCAAAACTTTTGAAAATAATATAAACGCCTCTATTCGTAAATTGAACACATTCGTTTTTGACATGCCGTATGTGGAGTCCTTAAAATTTTCTACCACCACCAAATTATTCAACACAAAACAATTCTTTCCTATTGCAAGAAAATATATCTTCCTGAAATTGTCAAAATTGCTGGAAATATGTCTCTCCTGAGAAACTGCTGCTATCTCGAGCTGTAAATTATTGCTTACCTCCCACACATATTAACCCGGATACGGACAACTAGTTTATTACACGTAGAGTCTGAAGCCACGTTTTTAAACCCCGAGAATACAGTAAGCCGTTTCATTTCACCCTACTTTATATTATCGAGAGACGTTGTGTGTTTGTGTGGGTTTGTTAAGTTCGTTAACTAAATGGGTAATGCCTTGGCGGACGTAATATAGAAGACATACACATCAAAAGAGACTATTACTTACTGCTTAGGAGGTATTTGAAGCTAAAATGGAAAAGTTATATCAGCAGCACAAGGAAGGAAATACCTTGTAAAAAATTATTTTTGACATTTGAAGAAACAAACAAATAAAAATGCAAGATTCGATTTTTTTTTTTAATAGTAACATCTGAAACCACTTCTAACTCTGACGCCACTGAATACTTTTGTAAATTTTTACATGCGTGCCACCATTATTTGATATTGTTCTACACTTTCAATTGTTCTTGAATAATTGATTTCAAACTGTGCCATGACGAAAGCAATAACACAAAGTACGCCGCGATATTGCTATTATTACATTTTGCATTTCTAGAAGACAATGTTACCAACACCAAGGACAGGCTGCAAAATATATTATAGGGATAAGACACCTACACAAACTTAGACGTATCAAGTTAAATATTGATTCAATGAATAATGTAACTAACAAGCTAGTATCCTAAGTACATATTGGGATAATATAGGAGGCTTAGAGATATAAGTTCTCTTAATCATCAGGGACTTAAGGTATTAAATTGAGGATTTTCCAGTGATACTGCAAGCTACTACTATATTCATTACGTAATATTTAATGGCCCTGTGGGATATAGTCAAGAAAGGCCAAGGATATGAAATGACAAATACTTAGAAGATTAAGAAAATACGTTCTATCATACTGCTCTTATATCATATTAAAAACCACCATAATTGGGGCTTCATAACAAGATACAGTTATCTTAAGAACTTTGTTTAATTTCATTTGATAGGGTTTCTAGAAAAAAAAATTAATTAGCTTTTAAAATAAAGTAAAAATATCAGAGCTAATAATGAATATATGTTTTATAAAGAATATTATATTGCATTGATGCCTAGAAAAACCATTGCCAACCAAAAAAAAATTATATACTAGTTTGTGTGGTAAAAATTATTCAACTGAAATGCATTTCCAAAAATAAATAGTTATATTACACAGCCCCACAAAAAAAAAAGTGTTCGGACTTGTGGGTCGGACATATGTATTCCCATGTATTTTTTGACGCTGAATCCGATCCCGAGCTCAGAAATGGCCCTCCACGTCTGGAATTGGCCCCAGGGGCCAAAAATGGCCTCTATAGGGCCTGAAAGATGGATTCCGGGATGAGGCGAGGTCGAAGGTGCATTCTAAAGCCAAAGCCGGATTTGTGGTCGAAAAGTTTATGGCCAACTGAAATTTCCCGTTTGGGACCGGGAAAATGACCCCTTAGGGGCCTGAAAATCGTGTTTCGGACGTCGCAATCGCAACAGTGGTATTTTTATGTACTTTTAAATTCTGGAACTCTGACTGTGCTTGAAAAGTTTATGGCCAACTGGAATCTCCCGTTTGGGACCGGGAAAATGACCCCTTAGGGGCCGGAAAATCGTGTTTCGTACGTCGCAATCGCAACAGTGGTATTTTTATGTACTTTTAAATTCTGGAACTCAAACTGTGCTCGAATTTCAGAATTTAAAAACCATTTAACACCACTGTTGCGATTGCGACGTCCGAAACACGATTTTCCGGCCCCTAAGGGGTCATTTTCCCGGTCCCAAACGGGAAATTTCAGTTGGCCATAAACTTTTCGACCACAAATCCGGCTTTGGCTTTAGAATGCACCTTCGACCTCGCCTCATCCCGGAATCCATCTTTCAGGCCCTATAGAGGCCATTTTTGGCCCCTGGGGCCAATTCCAGACGTGGAGGGCCATTTCTGAGCTCGGGATCGGATTCAGCGTCAAAAAATACATGGGAATACATATGTCCGACCCACAAGTCCGAACACTTTTTTTTTTTGGGGCTGTGTTGCGATTGCGACGTCCGAAACACGATTTTCCGGCCCCTAAGGGGTCATTTTCCCGGTCCCAAACGGGGAATTTCAGTTGGCCATAAACTTTTCGACCACAAATCCGGGTTTGGCTTTAAAATGCACCTTCGACCTCACCATATTCCGGAATCCATCTTTCAGGCCCTATAGAGGCCATTTTTGGCCCCTGGGGCCAATTCCAGACGTGGAGGGCCATTTCTGAGCTCGGGATCGGATTCAGCGTCGAAAAATACATGGGAATATATATGTCCGACCCACAAGTCCGAACACTTTTTTTTTTGTGGGGCTGTGTTATTGATGCAGTGTATCTAATTAGTTTAATAAGTAACATCTGTAAAAAAAATATGTTTTGTTCTAGAACAAATAAGATGACACTTTTCGAAAACGACGACGTCTTAATGAGATTAGATTTAATAGTACCAATACTTATTATACTTTCAAATTGCAGTCCAAAATACTATTATCTACATTTACAAGACGACACGAACGGTTACAAGGAAATCTAATCCCATTTACCGTTTTATCCTATTATGTAAACCGTTATCCTTTCGTGATTGACTTAATAGTAGCAACTCCGCAGGGCATTTTCTGTCTTTTAATTTCTTTTTTTTTCTTCCAGGAGGCCTTATTAAAGAGACTGGGTCCCAACGCTTATCCTTTCAACATGGAAATCACCCCCTTGGCGCCCCCTAGCGTGCAACTAGTGCCGGCAAAAGAGTACAACGGTGCTCCCATCGGAACCAGTTACGACATCAGAGCGTACGTTGGTAAGTTGGTTTCGTAACTGTGTGCAATTGTTTAGGAAATACCAATCTTCTAAGTGTGTACTTAAATCGTTCAGGAATTAGATACATTGATATACAGGGTTTTCTATGTCCAAGATGAAAATAGTACTATTAAACTAGAATCATTGTCATTACAGTTACTGCCGCATTTAATAAAAATGGTTTAATTTTAATATGAACTATGTCAAGTTCTTTTTTGTTAAAGTTTCTGTAACTTGTTGATAACTTCTGAGTGTTAGCGTCCACATAGTACAATGCTTGTAGAAATAAATAAGTTGGTTTTCATCGAAATTTCGGCAACATGTCAAATAACATTGTTAATAACATTGTTCTGTAACAAATGAGGGCCTACCTTAATATTTTCGAAAAACTACACGGGAACCTAATCGTAAGTAGTTCAAGAACGTACTTTATTCCCATCGAACGTGCAAAAGTAAGTGAAGCACAATCAGTCACTCTCCCGGCATATGCCACACACAATTGAAGATCTAGTGGAAAAACTAAATACCGTGTCAAAAATGCTGAATATTTTATTAAAAGACCAAGGGAATACAACTAAACCCAGATGATATTCTAGTTATGTTTTTGCTCAGAAATGTGTCAATTTAAAAATCTTTGAATGAACTTCATCAAAGTCTTATCGCAGAAGAAAAGGATAAGGATTTGGTACACTTGGAAAAGTTTTATGAATAATCTGAAGGAACTTCCCCAACCTTGGCAAATATCCGCATGGAAACCATCGAGAAAAAGATTGTGAAATGAACAACTCTAAAAACTGATATGTTGGCTCAAACATGCTGACAACTAATTTGTCACATGATTCCAAAATGTAACAACTCAGAAGAATTTTTGGTCTACCATGACGACTTGGAAAAACCGGTACTCTGTCGTTCCTAGACGTCCGAATTTATCAAAAGAAAGTCGTCGGATATCTGAACGCTGAATTTCATCAGCATCCAGACGAAAAAAACTATAAACACATTAGAGCAGGTGATACTAGAATCTGCTCTTAGAATGGATACACGAACAGGAATATTGAACGAGGCGCCCAAAAGGGATAACCAAGTACCAAGAAATGGCTAGCAACAACCAATATACAGCGCGTACGATGTTTGTTGAGATAGAATTCCAAGAAGACCCCTGCTTCACTTTCTTGGAATTAACCGCATTCGACACCTGAGGTAGAAAGACATTGGTGGCGTGGTATTTATTCACCGTAGCAGCTTGCAGTGCATACTGTGTTTTGCAGTTACGAAGGCGTGTTTCTTCAGCTCTTTTCTTGGAATTCTATATCAACAAATATTGTACTGTATCTTATACAGTATATTAGAAGATTGACTGTCACAGATGGATTAATTATAAATAAACGAAAATATATATTACATGGGCGTAACATCAACCGTTTTTAAAATTCGTCGGCTTATAACATTGGGAAATTTTATCATAATTTGGTATTAGTACGAGTCGAATTGCTTGACCTAATTCTAGGACAATTGACTAGCGCGCGCCAGACTTTTTTTATATTGAATGACAAAACAATTATTGTGAAAATTAATAAACTTTTATTTTTGAATAGATGGATAGTAGAAATAATGATTTTCTTAATACAAATATATATTTTTGTAAGGATCGAATGCATTAAGATCTGGTATACGAGCTGGCCAACACTGCAAACCATTTCAGCCCATCCAGTGATTTCAAAAATACTATTTATGAAAATTAAAAAGTAATTTCCAGTGAAGCATGCCACAACAACGTGGTGTGCAGCACGCACCTTAACCAGCTATCCTTGAATTTTATCGTGACTGTTACCAAGTTTTAATAAATTTCCCCAAGATTATAACTCGACGCATTTTAAAAAGCGTTAATGTTACGCCCATATAATACACGTTTTAGTTTATTTATGCATAATCTATCGTATGCTGAAGTAATGGCAGCCAAACTTCTAACACACTGTATACATTTCAACATGCTTCAGGTCTCAAGATGATACAACCCTTGAACACGTTTGGAGGAATATACCTTTTCACGCTGCATTCAAATGTAAACAAATTTAAAGCGAAATTTTATGAAAGCCGACTCCGGCATTGCAACGGGAAGTTTCTCCCTGAATAATTCATCAGCAGGGAAATTTATTATTAAAAAGTTCACAGCGCAAGAAATGGAATAACAGGGGAAACGTTTCGCCCGGGCCCTTTTCCACATTAAAAATGCATCGAAATTGCAAACAGTCAAATATACTAAGTATGGCTGCTCTGTATACAAATCTAGATTAACTTGGTTGTTGGCTTTATCGCAAAAATTCTTAAGATCGCTTTTTGCGCGAACAATGCGGCCCTTTTAATTTAATAAGGAACTGTAAACAGCCTTTCTGAAATAGAGGACAAAAAATTAAAAAAAATTCTTTCCTAAGTAAAGAAGTAAATAAAATTTTATAACACCTATTTTATATCAGCAAATTCAATTGCTTTTGACGTTATTGTTATTATTAATTAATAAAATTAATTTATGGTTTTAATTAATAAAATAATTTGACATACCTGATGTTACAACAAACGTTCAAAAGTCCACCGACGTGTAAACACATTTGAGCCCGTCTCACCCAGTTTCTTACAAACTAACACAAACGACTATAACACAAATGCTTCTCCATAACACAAATGTGTCTTGCTTCACCTTAAATTAAAACGATATCCATCAACTTCGAGTTGCTATACACGTAAGCCATTTTCAACAATTGAAAAACTAATGTAAACACTATCGCAACAACGATAATACTAAAATGGGATTTCAGTATTCGGAATCGCACGTGAGCGAATGACGCTTAGTGATGTAAACGTTGAAAATACTACAACTTCAATAATTTTTTTCTCGGAAACTATAACAATTTTACAAATTTTTTTTACGATATTGATTCCATTTTCCATGACGCATCTATTCCTAATTGTTTTTGGATAAGTTGTAAATCGCCCTTTATTTAATTCAGATCTACAATATGTAAATGTTAACTATAGAAATCAGTACTTTATTTGTGAACAATACTCGTATTTGTTACATTTTGATATTTTTTAAATTATTATAAAAACTAATAAACACAGCTACTTCCTACAACATTCATTTCTGTTTCGGCGGGGTTAAAAGTACACCGTCATGTCAGGACTGATTTACATTTCAACATTTCTCATTTAAAGACTGTATTGCCCACAGCTGTGGATAAAAAAATTGAGGTAAAGCAACGATCGATTTTTTTTACATTTTAGCACCACACTGTTATTACGTCGTACACTAACAAAATAAATTCCGCAAGTATGTAGTACCAAGAATCGCCTAATAAAAGGAGAACATTAAAATTCGAAAAGAAAAAAAAAACGCCTCGACTCGAAAGTGATTCATCAATTTACGCACATCCTGCCCTCTAAAAATTCAACAATGAGGTGCCCCACATCATTATTTATTAAACTAGAGCACGAAATATGAAGGCTGCCCTTTGTGTTTTTGATTGATTACTCAATGGGGATTATGAAAATGAAACGATCGGTGAAAATGCGGTGGGAGTTTTTCTAGTTGTTACACAATAACAAGAATGTCAAAGAATGTTGTGGGTGCAAAGGATATTGACTGTGAGGTAATAAATTGAACTTTTGACAACACTGGGTCGACAGAGATACAAACAGTTGCATACAGGATGATCAATTCATTATCGACAGGCAGAAAATAATCTTGTGATAATTTTTGCTTGTCTGAATACCAAATAAGGGCAACCTACTAACAAATAGAAATGCTATTTTTATAATAACTTGTGGTAGTCATTTTCATATCTACTTACAAAAGAGTCCCACTATGTCTTATTGTTGGCTACCTGCCATCACACCATTATTATCGTTGTTGTTATGATAGTCCATAAATATAACGTTCACAAATTTATTTCTCTCCAGATTTAGGGAAATTTTAAAAAAATGTGGCAACATCGCCTTGAGGTACAACACCTTACGTTGCAGACTTTCAATCTCTATGTTTCACAATTCAGAATCGATTTGATTTTTTTGCGTTATATGCTTTAATATGACAAAATTCAAACTGATAATTTAAAAAAAGTATTTTTTATCAGCAGTATTAGTTTAAAGCAATATTAAAGTATTGATAAACTCATCAAACAAAAGACTTCCTTCCTGTCGCGAAAGAGCAAGCTGGAACTTCAATTAAAACTTCTCCTCAACTTTCTAACTCGCTATTTTACTGAAAAGAGAATCCCTAAGTTGCATCCTCAATTTATCCCCCTGTTATGTTCCCACGAGTCCCAAACAAATTATCCTGTTTACCGTGAAAAAACTATCCTGTTCGAAATTCGCTCGAAATAGAGTTTCATGGTAGATTACCGCTTTACCGACTTTATTCTAGAAACAAGGTAGCTCAGACCTTAATTTCACTAAAGTTAAACTAGCGGTTAGTTTATTTTGCAGACGAAAAGGAATTTTTAATAGAATCATTTCCCATCTCTTTTATTGTTTATTTCAAAGGATTTTGCATAAATTAATAATTGTACCCAAATAATATTTTATTAAGACTGTGTGATTTTATACAATCTTAATGATATGAAGTTAAGAAATAGCTTTCAGGCTTATAAAAAGGTTTGTATTTATTTTATTAACTTTGCAAATTTGCGAACCAAATGAACTTCTTTGATAGAACACTACAACACCATGTATACTTCACAAAATGTTAATGGCCGCAGCTGTATTAAATTTTCTAGAAACAGCGCGCGGCGTGAAAATGGTGTCATCTTTCTTATTTAACCCCGCTGAGCTCTAAAAATTCATAATACTGTCCACCAATTTCTAGAAAGGGAAGATAGATGCCTAAGAAAACATTTTCTCCAGAGACCACCCAGCGAACACTTGCTAACGCTGTTAAATGTACGTAAAGTTGAAATATTTCCCGTTTCATAAAACGTGCGGCCTCTTAACATTATTCATTCCTTGTAA